AAAAACAACAGATCCTTCCATTTTGTTGCTGTATGTAGGGAAAAGAAAAACAAAATATATCACTTAATATATACAAATATATTGTATTAACATGCTGATACTGTAGTGACACTGGTCTCGACCTTGTGGTTAAGCAATGTATTGAGCGAAGGTTGCATGACTGAAGAGTTGGGTTCCTTGTCTCCATCCTGTTGCAGACATTCAAGCTGCTTCAGTTTTCTCTCATGCTGTTTTATTTATTTCAATCCAATTATAATACAAAATGATAGATAGATAGATAGATAGATAGATAGATAGATAGATAGATAGATTGATTCTTAAGCCCTCTACAAAGTGTGTGGCCTTGGAGGAACTAGACATTTTTTGATTAAAAGAAAGTCATATGTTTTGACACAACAAAGCTAGCACACAGCTACAGATTTGTAACAATGAATTCCTAGCTTGTCTGTCTCTCCGGCTTCTGACAAATGCATATGTAAAGGCAAACAAGTCACAATGTAAAGTGGAAGAAACATTAGATATTGTTGATTTGGGCGGGGGGGGGATAGAAATAGTGCACACAAACATGTTCATGGTAAAGTAGAAATACAAATCAGCCCCAAATACTTAACATATCTAATAAAAAATTGTATAAAAATCTAAAATAGAGACAGTAAAGACCTTCACTGTATTCAGGGTCTTTATATAGCCAACACCCTATTTCATATCACAGTGCAGTTGTGAGTACTGACAAAGCCACATTCCAGTTGCACTGTTGTAACTTTTTTGGTTACATTATACATATTAGTGAACATGAGTGAAAATATCAGCAAAATATTGATTAAAAGGCAGTTCAAGCCCTCCAGAAAGGATATTTCAAGGGCTCACAGCAAACATAGCATTTATCCATCTTTGCACTCCCAGGTTTTTTAGGCTGTTCAATGTAGACACTTAATTCTAGCTTAAATTAGAGCAAGTTGAGGCTGTTCCATTTATGACTGCCTATGAAATGCTGAGTATGGGCAGTTTCATAGTCCAGAAGAGTCCTGTAGCACATGTTCCATCTGCCCTCTCCAATTATGATCTTCATTGCTCTAGGTACTCTCCCCAGTATACCCGATGAAGAGTGCACGGTGCTGGCCTAGCTAATCCTAAAGTGATGCTGTAATGTTAAATGCTTAAGTCCTGCAAATGCACTGTAGGTCAAGGTTTTGCAGTGAATGTTTTACCTTTGAGGAGTTGACCTTAATACATATATTAGCATGTGTAGTAGAGACCCAGCAACAGGGATTTTGGTGCCAAAAGTGATGATCACTATTTTCTGAGACAGAGTAGAAGATAATTGGTCAGAAGTGTGAAAAGTAATAAATTTGTTTCAACATGATTGATAGATTCATAGATTGTTAGGGGCTGGAAGAGACCTTGCAGATCATCAGGTCCAAACCCTCTCCCCAGTCCCCACTCTAGGCAGGAAGACAACTGGGGTCAAGTGACCCCAGAGAGGTGACTGTCTAGTTTCCTCTTGGATAGGTGACTGCACCACCTCTGAAGGGAGTTTATTCCACAGTCTGGACACCCTGACTGTGAAGGAGTTGTTCCTGATATTAAGCCTGAAGCAGCCTTCCAGGAGTTTGTATCTATTGGTCCTGGTCTTCCCCAGGGGTGCCCTAGTGAATAGTTGTTCAATGAGATCCTGATACACTCCTCTGATATAGCACTAAGCCACTATCAAGTCCCCTCTCAACCTTCTCTTCTTTAGGCTAAAGAGGCCCAGGTCCTTCAGTCTTTCCTCGTATGGCTTGCCTTGCAAGTCCCTGATCATATGGATGGCTCTTCTCTGGACCCTCTCAAGTTTTTCCACGTCCTTACTAAAGTGCGGCACCCAGAACTGGATGCACCAATTGGATGATTGATGGAAGCACCAATTGGATGAGTGTTTGAATGGGAGATGCCCTGAAGAGATGATTGGTTTTTAGATGTGGGGTGATTTTGAGGGTTAAAGAGGAGTCTAAGCTGTGCTCTGTCAGTGTGAGAGGTGTGTGTGAGGAATGGTGTGTGCCTTGTGTGAGTTTGGTGTGTCTCTGAGGAGAGAGACTTGTGACTTTGAGGCCTGGCATCTGAAGAGAGACTGCTTTGGTCTCATGAGTGTGAGACTAAATGGGAATTCTTAGATGTGTTTGTGATTCAGTGCTGGGTGCTTTTGAAAGTGCCCGGTGCTGCATCACATACATTTGTATAAGCAGTGAAATGCATATGTAGCAGGCTCACCTTCCAGAGCGTGGGTTGAGTCCCAGGCTTGAGATTCTGCTCTTTTGATTGGTGGAACCCATCCACCAATCAGGAGGCAGCAGGAGAAATAAAATCACACCTCTTTCCTGAGGGGAGGGGGAGAAGAGTTCCTCCAGACCTGATTGAAAACTGTAAACTGTCAGGGGCAGAAGACTTCGGGCCAGAGTCCTGGAGCATATAAAAGGAGCTGCGTGCCCAGCACGAGGGGCTGGTGGAGTAAGGAACTCAAGAAGAGCAGAGCCAAGAAAATCTGGGGAGCTCTCCCCCAGCGGGCAATAGGCCCAAGGCTCCTGAAGCTATTACTGCAGGAGCAGCCTTGGGAGTAGTGCGAGACTGCTTGGGCTGTTGATGGCACACAGGGACGGTGCGTAGAGACCCGGCCCTGGGAGCAGTGTGAGACTGCTCAGGCCCACCATGGTGCACAGAGCCCAGGCACTGGGAGCTGCAAGCAGTAGCTTGAGCCTGGAACCCTGGCAGGACATTGGGGGCCTCAGTGAAGCAGCTCAGGCCCCATCTCCTGGCAAGTGGCCAGGTCCTAAGGTGTGCAGGGCAGCACACGACCCCAAGACTTGGGAGCCAAGGAGCAGCAGAGGCTGCTTGGGCTAACCACCCAGTGTGAGGACAGCTGGCCAGAGCCTGAAGGGCCCGGCCAGAGCCCTCAGTGCTGAGCCAGGGCATGGGGAAATGGCAGTGCTGTGGTGTGAGGCCCAGGAGCCAGCAGCTGAGAGGAACTGAGCCCTCAGTGCCCAGAGAAGGGCACAGGATGGGGAGTAATCCAGTGGCATGGGAGAGGCCTGGAGAGGCGCTCCAGTAGAGGAGACCCCATCGAGCTGCACCCTGACCACCACCCTTGTGTCTCACAGGGGAAAGACACTTGGGATGGGCTAACCCAGTTAAGGGGGTGGGTGAGCAGCCTTTACCCCCCGCACCCAGTCAAGGCCCTAAGGGGAGGGGCCCCTGGTGCTTCCTGGTGATTCCCCAAGGGATCCCATTGGAAGGAGGACTATCTCTTGCCATGGGTCAGGGACTATATTAAGGGATAAATGTTACTAAGATTGTTCATGTTTATGCCTTATATTTTGTAATTGAAATGTTGTATTGTGATGTTGTAAATTGTGTTATTTAGGGTTTGACCTTGGTTATTGGTTAGTGTTCACTGTGTAAATATATGTATATGATATTTAGTTTTATGTTCATGTATATTATAATTTAATAAATTGTATATAGTTAAGAACTTTGGCCTTAGGTTAACTCTATAGAGGAAAGAATCTGCTTGAAATTCTGGCATCCCTCTCACAGCACCCCCTTCTGATGACCCATCCCATTCGATTGAGACTAGGGAACAGCCTTGGGGGTACCTGGCTTACACACATCAGCACTGATAAAATGGTGGCGGTGCACTTTTGAACTAAAACAATTGGAGGAGTTGTAGTTCAAAAACTCACCACCACCATTTTCCTAGCGCTGACATGCATTTCGCTCTTTATACAAATGTGAGCAAAGCAGCACTGAACGCATCAGATCACATGCCGAGAAGACTTGATTGAGTCTGCTCTGATGTGCTGAATCTCTAGCATGTCGCAGCATGAAAAGGTATGTGTATAAAAGTCCAATGAGATAAGGGTGTTTGGTGAGTGACTAGTGTCTGGAACCATTGGAATTGATTGTATATCCCAGGTACAGCAAGGCTCCCTGGTGATCCCTCTGGAAGCACAACCACAGATCAGAACCAGTGCTGATGGGCCAACACTCATGGTAACATATCACAGTGAGGAGTGGGACATGGCCTTGGCCTTGGGGCCCAGAGCCAAAATGTGCAGCTGCAGGGCCCCAGTGGGGTGTGGAATGGAGCCAAGGATGGCTCATCTGGGGGGCAGGGAGGTGGGGCTGGCTCCCTGCCACTGCATGCACTCCCAGGGGAGCAGGGGGGACTCTTGCCTCCCAGATCTGTGCACGGGGTGGGAACTGTGTGCAGCCTACTGCCCACTTCAGGCTCATGCTCCCCACCCTGCTGCCCACCCCGGGGCCTCCACAGCCCTGCATGTGAAGTCCAGTGCTGCAGGGAACAGTGGAACCACTCAGAAAGCTGCCTGCTGCTGTAAGTTCCATGTTCCCGGCATTCCCTGTGCACAACTCCATGCTGCCACCCTGCTGCAGCCATACATGCAGGGGACACCTTGCCAGGGCAGCACAGAGCTCGCAGAAGCAAACAGCTTCCTGCATGGTTCCACTGTTTCCTGCAGCACCTGGTCACACATGTTGGGCTGCAGAGACACCTGAGGAAGGCAGCAGAGCAGGAGCCTGCAGTGGGCAGCATTCAGCCTCTGCCCCATGCACAGATGTGAGGGACATTGGTCCCCCTGTCCCCCAGGAGTGCATGCCATGGTGGGGAGCAACCTCCCACCCAAACCCACAGCAGCCAGGGAGCAGGCAGCAGGGTGGGGGAGCTGGGCTCTGCTCCATTTCAGCAGCCACTGCCTCTTGCCAGGGGCAGGGGGCTGTGGACCCAGGCCTCTGGTCCCATAGCCTTGGCAGCTGGGCCCCCCCTCTGTTAGGGCTGGGGGAGCAGGAGCTATAGGTACAGGGTGAGGGGCACCAGCAGGGCTATGGTGGGGGAGGGGGGCTTTCATTTTAATCATAGATTTTGGGGGTTTTATCAGAGAATTTGCAATTTTTTATCATGGAAAACCAGGATCCCTACTTATCATCATTAACAGTCTTGTAATTATTGTAAGTATTGTTGTTGTCTGTTATCATTAATACAGTCTGTGTATTAATTAACCTGTAGTTTCCAGTTTAATTGAAGAGTCTGCTCATTTGTGGTGGAGTAATGCTAGGCTGCAAGCAAACACCCTGGTTAGAGTCTCCGATCACCTTAAAAATCCTTTCCCTGGACTGGGTTCTAAGAGGAGTAATGCCCTTGTTTACTTAATTAAGAGTTCAGCACTTAACACCCTATAGGATAGGAATTGCAAGGGAAAACAGCAGCAAGCCATTTACAACTGAGAAAATTGTGTTGGCAGCATGAGGATTGTCCCCTAGATGCTTGCTGTAATGTTCTTTCCTTTACATATAACTGGAACAACCATACAGTGGCCTTGGTGAAGGAATATTCCTCTCATCATTGTGATACCAAAACACGGCTGAATTAGAAGTTGGAAGTTAGGCAACTTTCTACAGTTACCAGTAGCTAGTCTGGTGATGAAGCTGAGTAGCCTCCTTGGAAGACAAATGAAAACCACAGGGAAGCTGATTACTGTTAGACCAAAAACTGTGGCTAAACAAAAATTAAACTCTATACTTTGGATTCCACCCCCCTTTACCTCCTTTCCAAACGAATTAACTTGTATTCAGCCATAAAAAACTTCCTTGGTGTTATTTTCTGCCTATATTCTGTCTTTCTCATGTCATTGCCTTCCCTGATGTTTGCAACAATATTTAGTCTGGAATTCATTTAAGTATTCAACATTAAAGAAAACTGGGCCTGCTATATAACTCCTTTGCTATCTGGGGGGCTTTCTACATTTCCCATAGCCATCTTAATCAGTCTCTGATATACACTGATTGTCAAAAGTAGTTCAAATAACAAGCATGGCAACTGTCCATATACCCAGGAGACCATAATGGTGTTTGGGACTGCTCTACTGTATGCTACACTGTAGGCTGTGCAGGAGCACAGTTTGTGGAAGGCGATCTGGTCACAGAAAGCTAAATTACAGATGATGAGTTGTTCCTTGCTGCATAGGACTCAAGACTTTATTTTGTTTCAACACGAGAATGAGTTTATTATTCCTTCACTGAGCTGTAATCCAGAAAATGGATGGGGTTCAAAACAGCATGAGATGCACTCCAAGCTTAAATGGTTTTTTTTCCTGAGAAGCCCAACATATCACATCTCTAGGCACATCAATTTCCAACTCTATCAACCACTTCAGGTCAGTGGGAGACTTTTGGAACATTCTTGTCATTATTACATAAGTGGGGATTTTGAGTACAAGAACCAGAAAAGCTTGATTTTTTTTTTCTGGTTGGTTGGTTAGTTCTTTACTTAGTTCTCTTGTCCTTAGTTCCAAATCTTTTTTCTTTTTAATCCCCGGAATAAGTGATGTTTATCCTTACAATCCATCTTCTTTGATTTCTTATAATCATTCACAATAACCCTATCATCTGTAATACTATGTCCTAGGAGTTATATATTAGTTTATACACTGAGTCCTTAGAAGAGTACGTTTATGCCGTTACTGTATTTGGTTTGTATGTTGGTAAAATGACTGGTTCCTTGTCAGAAACATTTAGTGTGAAGAATGATGGCCACCATAGTCCCAAAATAAAAACCTAAAAGCAGGAGACTTTACCCCTTTTGGGTGTTAAGAATGTCTAAGGAAAGAACCACATACAGACCCCTACAACAGTGTTTATCTATAGAAAGAATGGTTAGGGTTCACAGTTTTTACAAGGTTTGATATTCTTTCACTGTATTTTTCAGTTACAAATGTAAATATTTGAGGCTGCAGGCAGACATTTCCTGGATTATACCACTGCTCCTTAGAGTGTCATTACTATTTCATGACATTACATAGAAACACATCCATTAACATGTAGTGCAACTGCAATTTCCTTGGTTTTGGGAAACATTACAAACGTTTCACTCCTTGTTACTTACATTGCCATAGATATTGTAGGCAAGATTTTTACTACCTAGTCAAATGAAATACAGTAATAGTATATACGTAGTCTTCCGAGAAAGGCGGAAAAGCCTTTGCTCATAATACCGCTAGGTTAGGGGAACTTCTGTCTTTTTGAACCTAAGAGAAGACTCAGCATAAGAACAAATAACCTTAAACAAAAATTAGCTTGCAAGATTATCAGCACTGTTAATGATCATACAATCATTCATCTTCCTTATAATTCAATCATTCAACTTGTCTTAATGACCTCCTGTGGCACTGAATTCTTCAGGTGTGCTGAAGTGCATAATAAAGATCAACTTACATGATCTTGAATCAGTCCTCAGAATCATCTATTAACTTACCCTGGGTGCATACAGACACTGGGAGTGTTTGAGGATAGGATAGATCACATAAAAAATGTCCACCCAGTCTAACTTAGTTTGCCAAAGTGCAGACCTTACACCAGTTTGTCAATTTCAGTCCAAACTGTACAGAAGTTCAGGACAATTAAATCAGTCTAAAAATGGCTGGCCTAAGATAACCCTACCTCAGGGTTATAGCAAACTTAGATGAGTCTAAAAATGGTGAACCCAGTCTAACTGTCCTGGACTTCTGTACAGTTCCCAGCACAGCTGCAAGGCTGTACTTTTTCTACCTCCTCCCTGGTACCAGGCTAGCTTTAGCTTCCCAGCCTCTTCCTCCCACACCCAGATTGACAACCCCCACAGGGACAAACCACCCCCTCTCCCATCCCACTCCCCTTCCCCTCCCCCCATTCTGCAAGCCACTCCCAGTGCCAGTTTTACCAGTATTTGCCAGAGCCTGGAGCTGATCAAGTAAGTTGGGGTGAGGGGAGGGTCAGCAAGATGGATTCATTGGAATTGCTTGTCTGGGGGGAGACCCTAAAAATAGCCCCTGGTCCCAGGGGGTGGAAGAGAGAATCCACCATGTCCCCTGTGACGCCCATGAACCACCTGGATCACACCAACGCCCCCATTGATCCCAACTGCTTTCCCTGACCCCCTCAGAGCTTACTTGCTGCCTTGCTCCTTTGAAGCCCTGTCCCCAGCCCCCTCAACCCAATTTATTTTACATCAGGTAGCCTTAGATTGATCTAACCCCCCTCTAACCCCTCCAAATGTCTGTATGCACCCTCTGAGTTAATTATGGTGGTTGTAAGATTATTTTATTATTTTCACATTTAAGAAATGAAGCCTTAAGAAAAAAAAGGTCACTAGTATGGGGAAATAAAGCATATATGCTGACAATATACTTTAAAATAAAAGTAAACAATTAGTATTTGACAATGACTCGTGCTCTTTCCAGTTTAACCAACTCTTTTCTTAATCAACACGGGCATTTAAACTGTATATTACTGCATTTGTGAAAACATAATAACCTCTGCTTTGTTAAAATAGAAAAATCAACATTGTCTGTGAAAAACAAACTTTTTTTTTTCTTTTTAAACATGGTTTCCTGTCAAAACACAATTTTGACGTAAATTTTTCACCAAGGCCTATGTTTATTTGCTGTTCTGCCATAGACTGCCTGTGTGACTCAGGGTAAATCATCCCCATAGGAGTTAGC